CCTAACATTTAATGGCAAGAAACCAAAACCCTTCCCAGGGGCATCTGAAAAAATGAATCAACCAGATTCTATTCAAACAAGGACTGGTATTTTAGAGCTGGTTCTGAGCTCGCTGGGGGTCGGCATTGCACAGTTAACTTTCTAGCTTTGCCCTGCAGGTTCAATCTTCTGCTATCCATAGCAGATTTCTCTCCAACAGCTGCCAAGCACTTTGTGCCAGGTATTGGGAGATCATCTTTTGGCACTTCCTATGGCAGAATTGTGCTGCTGTTTCCATAAGTGGGCTCCAATCGTACATCTTCTCACATCAAAAGATTGTCTGAAAGCCTCCAAAAATAAATCATGGAAGTAGATGCACTCAAAGAAATATTTTTTTCTTATCTGACAGTAGCTGATGTTCAGAAATGCCTTGCCTGCCTCCATTTTATAGCCTGTGCTTAGGTGTCAACGTCACCTCTGGATTCTCTGGTGGCAATGGCACCTTGATCAGCATTATATATATGTAGTCCACTAGCAGAAGGACACTCAGTATATGTCTCTGCAGAGATACCAGCTCTGGTATACACTGTCACTTCAGCGACAATAATTAACGACTCTTGTCAGGACCAATTATCTTGGGTTCACCTTCACAGGAGGTGGCTACACTGCTTCTGGTTGCCAAACTGGCCCACCTCCCACTAGCTTGTGCCCTTCAGGTTTGTTCCTGGCCTCAGAAGACTCCGATTGCCAAACTGCCTGGCTTCACATGCATCAGTTGCCAGACTTACAGCTAAACCAGCTATTTCAGAGGCCTCCATCTAATAAACTAAGGAGTAAAGAAACTCCTTAGTTTTAAGCCTTCCTTTAACCCTTCTCCTTTTATTTATTACTAGAGGGCATTGGGAGTAGCTCTAATGCAAGTATATCAGTGTAACTGAGGGGGAAATCAAGCTCTTCAAGGAAAAATGTGTATTGCCTAGGTCTATGTGCAATAATAGTGTCCTAAATTTTAAAACCACTGAGCCCTTAGCAGTTGCCACTACAGACACTGAGCAGTGGGATTTCTGTAAAGAATAATGTGGGTAAAACAGTAACATTACTTAGGACAGTGGCTGCACTAGTAACATAGGGATGAAGGATGCTCACCTTCCATTTTTGACTATGAGAATGTCAGCATTTCTTTTGTATTTCCTGTCATTTCTTCCTTTCTTTTTTTCTTTCAGTGGCATTTAGGAATGAATAAAATGGCATGCTCCTAAAGTCTTTTCTATAAACTTTGATTTTTCTGAAGTGTGTTGTGCCTCCCTTCTCTATCCGCTTTACTGAGAGAATGTGTGTCACAGGATGCTAAGGTTCCAGTCTTGCTACCCCAACCATTGACACTTGCTTAGAGATACTGGGCTGAGAGGAATGAGCCTTTGTGAAACAGATGGCACATATGTTATTGGCAAAACCCCTTCCTCTTAAGTCCTCCTCTGCAAAATAAAAAGGAGCCTACTGGATTACAATAATTTTCTAAGTGTCAAAAAAAGGAGAAAAACTAGTTAAGTGGGTTTTTTTCTGCACAGAATCTTCAGACAGATGGACCTGGGTCTTCTGTATGTAGGGTTTCTGTCACAGCAAAGAAATAAGTGTCAGAGCAGAAGCTAGTTGGGATGTTTAATTTGAAGTTTTTAAGATGGCATATAGCCTTTTTACATTAAAATTTGAAGCTTCATCATAAAAGCTTTAACTTTTTGACAGATTTAACAGAAACTTAACAGTTCTTTTGTTCTCTCTCTAGTATTTGACCTCTCTCTTTTGCCTTCCTCCTCCATTTTTGCCTTTTAAAAAAGAGGAAAACTATCATCTTCTGTATGTTGGGACGGTGTTGGCATGACAGTGCTTCTGTACAGATAAAATGTGTAGGGGCCATGTCTCAGGGGGATATTCCAAATACCAATTCCTGCTTGGAAAGCATTTTAGGTATCTGTGATATAGATGTGAAACGTCACTTCTGCTAAAATCAGTGATGATCAGAGGTACTTCTCAACCTTCTAATAATAAGCATCACTATAAAATTACAGAGACACCAAATTGCTGGGTAAATGATACAAGACTCATCTCTGAAAGGTAATGAAAGAGAAGAGCTGTGTATTCTTTGCTTTCTTTTTTGCCCTTTTTTTGTGTCCACCCCCCCCTCTCTCCCCGTAGTCTCTCTTCCCCTTTTGTTCGTCCCCCCCCCCCCCCCTTCTCCCATTATTCGGCACTTGAAAAAACTGCTTCGGAAATAATAATGCTTCTTGGTGTCAGACAGCTCAGGAATCTCACAACAGTCAGAGGTGAGGAGACATTTCCTCTACGAGGCCCTTTGCCTTAACAAAGGAAAGGTCTGTTTCAGACCCTATCCAAAGTGTTTATTTTATTACTGCATTTCTTTAAGATTGGACAAGCTGACTTCTAAGACACATTGACTAATGTTTTTGGAAAGAAAAGTGCTTTGCCTTGATAAATTACATTTGTTGTTTTGGCACTTACTCAACAAAGAAGAAGAAGAAGAAGAGCTGGAATCGCATTAGAAAACAACCTCTAAGGCCAGCTTTCTGCAATTGCTTTGAACTCTCACTCATCATTATTTTATGCACCCAATCTCCTTCGTGCTTATATAAGGAGGGTGAGAAAAAACGTGAGTCTTGCCTTTAGGATTTTTACTCAAAGCTGCAACTTTCCTGACTGCAACAGTAGATTTTCAAGCTCCAAAGCAATTGTGTAAATTAAAATCCCATATTCCTGTGGGCTATGAATGGAGCTGTTTGAAATGTTCTTAACAAGAAGAGCCTGTCAGAAAGGGCAAGGAATTTTAAGGAGCTCTGTGGGCTCCCATTGCCCCACATGGCGATCTGTGGCTGATAGACCACTGCAGGCTGTGGGTGCAGACTTGTGAACAGACTGAGGTCTCCCTCCCTTCTGGGGTAGGGCCTCACCCAAAGCACCTTGAAGCCCTTAAGACATTTCCAACAGGCTTTCTTCAGATCCATCTACCGCTGGACTGAGGAATAGAGAAACCAGTGATGCATGCAGCAGAGGAAGCAAAGGGCTGGTCATTTTAAGATGAACCTACCCAGTGCACAACACAGCGCCTAGCCCCCCAAAACGCCAGAGGCACATCTGCTCCCCAAAAACACCATGTAGCAAATTCAGGGGTGAAAATGTAATGAGCCAGAGAAAGAACATGAGGTTGGATCCATAGCTTTTGTAATAACCCAACCACAAGGCCAAGTTTGGAAGTTTTTTCCCCCCTCTCTGTTCACCATTCTGCCTCTGCATTTGTGAGGTCAGATTTCCAGACAGATGTTGTGTAACTGTCACTATTATTCCTACAGGGGCGGATAGCCCCTGCACTGGGTGCCCAACATAAAGAGAAGCCCACTAGTAGGTGCAAAGAGGAAAGAGAGTGGGCAGCCTCACAAGGGGGAACCCAAACTGGGGGGCCTGTGCTGTGTGTGCAGCTTGTCAAGTGGGCTCCCAGCACTCGGGTAAGTATGGAGCTATCGGCGGCTGCCGCCGCTGAGGTGGCTGAGAGCTGGGAGGTGTGGGGAGGATGCGCACGGAGCCGAGGCAGGGCCAGGAGGCTGCTTGGGTCTGCTCCGGCGTGTCGGGGTTCAGGCCGGGTGTCGGGGGCGGGGGACCAGGGACCGGGATCGGGCCGACGGTTTCGGATACGGGCAGGTGGGTGCTGGCGGCTGGCGCGGTGGCGTAGCGCCCGCCCGGGAGGGAAGTGGAGAGGCAGGCGGAGGAGCATGCCTGCACTCTCAGGGGGGCTGCCCGTGCTCC